CGGCCTTCCCCCGAGGGCAGAGTGAGTCGGGCTCGACTGGCCAGGAAGTGTTCTGGGGAGGTCTTGGTGTGCTTTTTCTACTCCAGCTTGCAGGAAAGAAAAGTCTGTCACCATTGTGATAAATCGTAAACTGAGGGGACACGTACGTGGGGGCCTTTGCCTGTGGGTATGGCTGAGGGGGCAGAGCTGTAGAGACATCTGGAAGTGTAGAAGGGGTACAGGCAGACTTCTGGGGTGCTGCGCTGGGAATCGGGTCTTGGGTTCTCGGGTGAGTCAGGAACTTCTGTCTACTGGTGGGCAGATCCCCTCCTGGGCATTTTCTCAAAGTGGTTGTAGAAGCTCAAAACTAGGGCACTGCTCTGCTCAGCTTAACTGAGTGTACCAGAATCTCCCAGGGCCTCACACAGGTCGGAACTGGGTGCACACTTTGCCCAAATGAGAACACGGCTCAGTGACCTTTGATACCAAAGGGCTATCAGCATATCAGGGGGCTCGGGGGACTGAGGGCTACTGGAAAGATTGAACTGGATCATTTCTGAAGACTCTACAAACTAAGAATTCAGGTGTTCACGAGATGGAACTTGAGCTTGGACATCTTTGGTCAAGACATTTTATTTGCCTGACTCCAGTAGGGCTTTTATACCGGGACAGAGACACTCATGAAGAAACTGAAAACAGGGCTGTAGACCTGAGACTTGCTGTGAATAGACAGGAGACCCAGGGTCACAGAGAGGGTGACTTGGTGGTCTGGGTATGTCCGCATCTGGTGTGTGGATGGGGCGGAGCGCCTTGCTGTGTGGGCCTGCTGGGCGGGCCGGCCTGGCTGCGACAGCAGCTGGCCACCTCTGAGCCGCCTCAGGCCACGCTGCGGCGCCTTCCCTGGTGGCTCGTTGCAGTGCTGAGCTGCTCCTTTTGCTTCCCTGGACCCCTTCCGCCTCCTTTTTTTAGCAAGTGTTTTGCTTTGAGAAAATGCTCTAGGCTTATGTGAGCGTTAAAATGTTGATCCTCGCGTTGTTAAGTAGACCACCAGTTACAGAAATCCACACAGTGGCACCACTTGCCACGTTTGATATATTTCCTACCAGTCTAGCCGGAAGCAGCGCCACATGCCAGGCGCTGGCCTTTACCTTTGGTGGGCTTTGTTCAGTCGTTTTTGTTTTGCTAGACTTCACTGCCCAACAGGGATGATGGGATTTTAATGCCAGAGATGGCTTGTGACCTCTTATTTTCTCTTCTTTGTGCCTCTAAGGGGCATGGAAGGAGAGACAGCCACCACTTAATACGTGGCTGTCAACAGGGTTCCTTCCTGCCTCTCTGCTTTCATGACATTCAGGATCGTCTTTGTCTCATTGTGCTCAGATCGGTAAGCAGATAGGAATTCCTCAGTGGTGAGTAGCACACTTCGGGAAAGCCTGGTGAATGAGCCATACTTTGCCTAAAGGAAGACCAGACCCGAATGCCCTAAATCTTTAAAATCACGAATGTTTTCATTGTTTGTTCATTTCCAGTCTGTCATGCTACCTGTTTTCTCCTATCTGACGAATGTTCTTCATTTGAACACAATTATTTCTTTTTCTTTCTTTTAAGATTTATTTATTTATGCATACAGAACTGGGGTGTAGGGGTGGTGAGAGGATTCACCAGAGACAGAGTGTGGAGCAAAACAGGCTGGCTGATGAAGTACACTGCTGAGGGGAGCAGCGAGCGAGCGAGCGGGCGGGCAGGCCGGGTGGGCCGGCCAGGCGAGGTCTGCCGCACCATGTGGGTCACCTCCGGGTGGGGATCAAACTCCTCTGAAGTGGCTTTAGCTTCTTAGTGCTGTGCTTTAACTCGCTGCGCCACCAGGGAGGGCCCAAACAAACATTATTTCTTAGCAGACTCCACTGCCTCCTGCTTGGCTCAGTCTTTCTGTTGGGCAGAGATGGCCAACATTTCCCACTGATGGACAGAGGCTCACAGCCCTGCTGGTTTGGGTGGGAGTAGGGGGTGGGGCAGAGTCTGAGGCGGGGAGAGGACGTGTCGCTGGAGAAGGCTCTCCCGCTCTGCACGGGAACGTCATTTCTCCCGTTCATCTTCACCGTCGCTCCCTTCCCATGCTGCACGGCCCTGGGTGGGTACTGCCACTGGCGACATGATGATTAATTATTTTAGGAAGTGTGTGTAAGCCGGAGCCACTCTTATAAACACCTGAGCTGGAAATCTGTTTTGTGTAAAGCAAAAACTGTTTGCATTCGCCAAGGGCAAAGCTCTGGTGGAAGCTGCGGGTACTGTTTGCCTGTCGACCACAGTGGGAGACAACTTTGGGGGGAAATAGGACGGATCAATGAGATTTTTCTCTCCATGTAAAGTTGCTATTGAAATAACACCTCATCTTACTTTGCAGTCCTAGAATAATAAATCAGACATCTGTGGCTCGGCAGATTGAGCGCACCCACCTCATGGCGGTGGGCATGTCCGTGCTCTCTTGCAGCTGCGGGCAGGGTGACATCAGCAGGCGCTCTCATTTTCTAGCCCCACTTCTGATTTCTTGCTGTCAGAGAATCTACATTCAGGGCTGAGCAGATCTTCAGGGACCCTTTTTGACTTGGCTACATTTTGTATCACCTCTTAAATTGTGTTCATCTTCAGTTTTCTCAGGAGACTGCACGATGCAGTGGAAATAACGTGGATTTTTATGTGCAGCTTATTTATTTTGGCCACAGGGTTTTTGGTTCACGTTCAGTTCTTGACTCAGTCGCAATCTGAAAGTTCTCTGACTGGAGCAGGTCAGGTACTCCTGGCGTACCGAAGGGAAGCCCTCTTCGCCTCTGTAGAGGGTGCAGTCCCGTAGTAGCCGCACCCCCTTTGGATCTGCTTCGTCTAGGGACGTTCCCGTGACAGTTGGGGGGCCAGCCGCTCCCGGGCTGCCCTGCAGTGGCAGGCGGGTTAGTGGGCTGAGCCTGACAGTGGAGACCCCCGTGGGCCAGCGGCGTGAGACTCATCTCCCGGCAGTGTGGCTGGAGTCCAGCTTGTGAGAGACTGGTGTGTCAGTGTTTATGCAACACTGTTCTAAGGTTTCAGTGGGCGACATGGGCAGCTTTGGACAGCGGTTTCTTGCTAAGCCAACTGCCCTCGGAACCCAGTGGGATGTCCTCCAGCCTGGCCGTGGAAGAAAACTCACTGGGCAGTCTGTCATTGTAACAGTGACAAAAAGCAAAAGGTTGTTAATTTTAATTTTTGTAATTCACCTTTAAGTATTAAAATTAGATTTGAATTACTGTAAAAAGATAAAAGTCAAGGTCTTTTCAAGTTTCTGAAAAAAGATCTAGAAAAGGGTTTTTCCTGGTGGCGCAGCGGGTTAAAGCAGAGCACTATGAAGCTATCTACAGCCACTGCAGCACGAGTTCAATCCCTGGCCAGAGAGCTGACCCACAGGGCGCAGCAGACCTCTCCTGTCTCCCCGCTGCTCCCCTCAGCAGTGTGTTTCAGTCAGTCTGCCTGTTCTGCTCCCCACTCTGTCTCTGTTGAATCCTCTCACTCCTCCCTCCCCACCTCTGGCCTGTACCCCAGTTCTTGTATGCATAAATAAATCAACAACAAGAAGATGTAGAAAATAATTTATGTGAAACAACCCTATCACCTTTCCATCCCTGTAAGTTGTTTATTGCTTATCCTTTTTGGTTACTGGGTTTTTTTTTCTCTTTTTAACATTTTAAAAGGACTGGTTTATTAGGGAAAGGAGAAAGTAAAGAAAGGCACAGCCATAGACCCAGGCAGGCAGGAGAGCTGCTTTTGTGCACTAGTTTTTAGCTGTTGTTATCTGGATTATTACCTTAGTGCAGGTAATAGGCAGTAGAATTGACTCTTCTAAGGAGAAGGCACTGGAACCCCGAGGGAGTTGGCCATGTGAATATCTCTGACTGAGTCCGTGGCATTAAACACATCGTGGACATTTTTGTTAAGTAGATGAACATACTCTGATTTTTTTTTTTTTTTTGCTAGCCAAAATTTTACCTAATGTCCAAATTGTCCGTTTCTTATATAAGTGCCTCACAATCATATAAAAAATAAGAGATTTAGGTAAAAGCAGAAGTAGTAGTAAAAGAGGCAACTAAACATGAAATTTGTTTCTGCCAAATAAGGTTGTCAGAGTATTTTCTGTTTGATAAGAAAAACAGATTCAAATTCATTTTCTTTTGTTACCCTAACAAGTAGCAACAAACTTAGTGATTTAACACAACACGGGTTGTTATTTCACAGTTTTGTGGGGTGTAAGTCCATTAAAGATGTCAACAAGGGTGCGCTTTCTCTGGAAGCTCTTATGGGGCATTTTCCTGCCTCTGGCTTCTAGATGGTACCCACTTTCCTTGACCTATGTACCCCCTTCCGTCTTCAAAGTCAGCAAAGTTGTATCTTTTTACTTTATTAAAATAACTTTGGCTCATAAGGTTGCAGGTTCCAGGTGTACAGACGTCAGTATCTGTATTGATCTTGTGGTAGACGCAGTGTCTTTGTGTTCGTCACCTAAAGCCGAGTTTCTGTCCATCACGCACAGTTTGACCCGTTTTACCCACCTCAGCCCCTCCTCCGGCCATTCTCACGCCGTCGCTTCTGCCGTTGGACAAGTTTCTTTGCTTTTAAAGACACTGTGGTTGGACTGGACCCACTTGCATAATGCAGAACAATCCTCTCCTGTCAGGATCCTACACTGAGTCACATCTGTAAATGCCTGTTGCCAAGTAAAGTCAAAATTCTGAGGTCCTGAGCACGTTAGAATGTGGCCCTCTTGGAGACGGAAGAGGGCTTAACGCCTCCTATCGCCACATGGAAATGCCCAAACAGTTTCAGTCTTGTGTTCTTCACACATGCCCATGCTTTGTTACAGGTCTTTAAGAAACTTTCACTTGGGTATTTTATAGGAAAGAGTTGCTCATAGTTTTAATTTTTTTTAATTTTATTTTTGTTTGGATTTTAACCTACTTAGTACAACTAATGTTCATTCTCTTTGTTTTCTTTGATAGCGATAACCTCCTAAGGAGAGCAGCCTGCCAGGAAGCTCAGGTAATGCCATTTAATGTGATAAAATTAAAACCTGCGTTATCTCCATCATGCAGGGAGCTCCAGATGTTCCGGGGACTGGCACTGCCTGGCGTTGGTGCAGTTTGCTGAAATATTTTCTTCCACTATCAGGAGCTGAATCAGGCTGAGAGGCCAACTCTGAATAGAACTGGGAGAAGTTAACCATCTGCTGAGGAGCAATTTAAATGCCCACCCCTTTAGACTCGGTTACGTCTGGATCAGTCTAGGACCATGTACTGGACTGGCTGGAGCTCTGGGAATTTGTTGGTGTCTGCACTTGTCCTTGAAGATCTGGCTAAACCTCGGGTCTTGCCTGATCCGAATAACCCCCAAAGATATCAGTTCAGAACAGGTGTTTCCTCTCAAAGTCAAATCTTCTTAAAACTGTTGACTCATATTTTCAAAGCCCTGATCTCCAGCACAGCTTGCTTATTCCATGTGTTTTGTTCTCCTGGCTCCATGATGTTGGACTTAAATATTAAAATACCTGACTGTATTAGTTACAACTGAATTGCAAGTCCTTTCAAGCTTAAGGACGCCTGTTGGCTCTTAATCCCCGGTTACATATTTCTGGGACAAATCCCAGGAGAACTCGCACAGCCACTGCCCAGGTGAGGCCAAATCATCGGCCACCTTCACACATCTCCAGACGATGTCATGGATTCACTGGGAATAGCCCATAATTCGCTGGGGACCAAGATACTTTGCAGTCTGCTCTGTCGTGTTCTGTCTCTCCTCAGAACTTTCCAGGGTGATCTCCAACTCAGAAAGGAGGATGCTCTTAGACCCGTCTCGGGGCGGCAGGGATTCCTCTCCAGCGTCGTGGAACTGACTGTCCGGGTCTGACTCCCCCAGGCCTGGGCGTCCCCCGCGTCGGTGCCCCAGGATTCCTGCTCTCCGTCTGGCTGCGCCAAGGCGGTTATTCCAGGTCTAGTTACTCCATACTGGGGACTTTCCAGGCTGCTCCCCAGGCGCCGGGGCGGCAGGAGTTGAGGACTGAGTGTTCTGTGGACACCAGGCATTGGGTCTCGCTGTTGCTCTGTGGCCAGTTGCTTTTCCGCCACCTCTTGCGTTTCGTCCTCTGGTTCTGCAGTCAGTTCTTAACCTGCTTGTAACTGAGACTCAGGGTGTTGGAAAATTCTTCTTTCTCGGGAGGCTGAGGTACTTTTGTCCTTAATCTGTCGCTGCGTGCTCAGCTGTGTGTCTGAAAGAACACAGTTCTGCTCTTCTGTCCGTCCGCTGGGGGCTGATCTTCATTCCTGGCGTGCTGTCTCTCCGCTGTGGAGTTAGTGCTGCCTTGGGGCTGCCGGGAGTCCGCTGCCCCGAGGCGGAGGGCCTTTGCAAGCAGGCATTGTTTTCCACAGAGCCCAGATTCCCAGGCGTCAGAATCCCTGAAACTGGCTGCTGTGGGGACAAACTGGACTGACTTTCATGTTGTTGAGTGGAGGGACAGGGGAAAAGCGCTGCACGCCGGAAAGGCCCAGGCATGAGTGTGTAGATAGACGCGTTTAGAGAAAGGAAGATCTGTGGATGTGAAAGTACCCTGAGAAAGCGTGGGGTGGGGGTGACGAGGTGAGTCACCTCCACAGTAACAATTGCTAACCAGCCTAATCTTGCAAAAGGCTTTTTGGTTTTCTTTGTTTGTGTAAAGATAGGGAGATTTATTGGTAATGCAAGGGGAAAGCGATTATAGTCTGAAAACCAAAGATAAGTGAATTAGACTCCCTCCTGACCATCTGTATTACATGTTTATAATACACCTGCTCATACCTTATAAAGAAAAAAAGTTACTAACCTGTAGTAGTTGAGGCTTTAGTTCCAACCCAGAATTCCCTCGTAGGCATGAAACAGTGGTACACTTAATCGTTAGGGTATTTTGTCAATACAAAATCAGGAAGGAAAATTACTGGCTTTTTCTCAGAGTAAATGCCCTATCTGTGTGAGTTCTTTTTGAGTGCAAGAATTATGTGATCACCAGCTGAATAAAGAAGACATTTACTTGAAGCTTTTCTGTTCTCTCTCCTAGGTGTTTGGCAATCAGCTCATTCCTCCCAATGCCCAAGTGAAGAAGGCAACCGTCTTCCTCAACCCTGCGGCTTGCAAAGGGTAACTGCGCCTGTGCTCACGTTCTCTCGGGGCAGCCACAGGCTGTCCGGCAGCCTGCTGGGATGTGTGGGGTGGAAGAACATGGTGCAGTGAGTTGGGTGACGTGAAAGTAACAGTAAGGCAGAACTTACTGACTGACTGAAGACCAGTGAAGGTTAGTGAGAGTGCCTAACCGGTCTCACCCACAGTAGCCCCTTGGGCCTCTCCTGTGCCAGGATGTGAATTGTTGGGTGGTCCCTGTGACCAGACAGTTGGAGATAGCCCAGAGTGGGGTGGGTGTGGGAGTCGGAAACACCCTCTCCGAGGGCGGGACCCTGCAGTCAGCAGAGGGGGAGCGGACACTCCTTCCAGCTCAGCAAAGGCCCATGGGGGCAGAGGCCTAGAAACCAGAGGGACTCTGTGTCCCTCCTGTGCCAGGGGCCAGTCGGGAAGCAAGCCCGGCTGGCCTGGAAGGGTGCTGTGAAGCAAGGTGTGGGGAACACGTGGGAACCTGGTTGATGAACTCTTCTTAATGTGCTGAGAGTGCTGCGCAGGGGTGGGCTGCCGAGAGGGGCAGGCGGTGCTGCAGGGCGAGCGTGTGTGGGCACTCCACTCCACTCCGCTCACTTTTACTGGAAACTTGAAAGTTCTCTACAAAGTTAAGAGGAAAAAATGCCACAGGCAAAAATGTTTTCTCCCTATAATGTTAGCTGTAGCCCTTACTCATTTGCAAGGGCAAATGAAAAAGCCTTTCTATCTTTTAGAAGAAATCATTCAAAATTTAAAATTGTTTTTTAAAAGAGTACGAAGTTGAGGGGCTTATTTTCCCTGGTGGCCAGAACCTTTCTTTTTGTTTTTTTCCAACCATGAGAAAATTAATGAAAAATAAATTAAGTGACAAATAATAGAATAAATAGTAAATTAATAAGCATGTATTAGATTGGACTTTGTAACATCTAAATCAGAGACAATAAGTTACCAGCGGAGCACCAGCAGCGGAGACCAGCTGCTGCGCCGTGCGGTCAGTACTGAAGTAAGGGCCGCCCGAGCTCCCCAGTGGCTGGGGGCAGTGAGAGTGGCTTCGCAGAGAGGGCACTCGCCACTCCTATTTCTTTTTAACTTGGCAGCTTCAGATACAGCAGGTCCTCGGTAACCCTAAATACCACCGTTTCCCTATAATGTCAAGGGGGGGAGAAAAGAATCCAGCTGAAGTCGAATAAAATGACAGCATTGAGGGACCCGGTTTCATCTTAGGTTGCTTTGCATAAA